TCGACTCAAAAGCCTTGTAAAACAGCCATTTCTTTAAGCCACTGCTACTTTCAATATTTGATATAACCTGCAGAATTAAAATCACAGACAAATGAGCACAACAAATCTTTCACACAAACAAACAACGATTGTCTACATTGAATAACCTTATCGTAAAGACGGTTTAACAAACGAGGAACTGAAGCGAAGAATGTCGGCCTAAAAAATTATTCACACATCATATTGTATGATTTACAGTGATCAACAACAAGTGAATGAATTTCAAGAGAATTACCTCAATAACTGGATGTCATCCAAGAGAAGTTTCACATCACCACGAAAGAACCCAGCTCGACCTCCAGCACAACAAATAATCATCTAAAAATGACGACGGCGTAGTACAAATATCTGTAGCTTAAAAGAACAACTTAAACCAGGAAGTAAAATATTTTTCAGTTACCATAACAAGTCTCTCGTACATGTGAGGAAGCGGAAGATAGGATATGTGAACAAAGCTTGAATCCACTGGGTAGCCATTCTAAAGACGAAAGTATGGAGAAATTGAATCTAAAGAACACAGCAAAGATACTATCTTCATTTTACTAAACCTTCTCAAAATGTATAAAAGTTGCAGCGAGGCAGGATATCATGTTCTTGTTGCTCAACATCACTCCCTTTGGTTGTCCTAAAAATGAACGTCAAAACCAAAGTTCAATATACGTACCACTGGTGAAAATACACAAGAGAATTACCTGGGGGTACGACTCTTAAAATCAGGGCGGATCAAAGATTCGCGGCAACCCTCTCCAACCCTTCCCCCCAACTAACATTATTTGAAAAATACTCAAAAATAGAATTATTTACAAAAATGCTAATATTTACATACAATGTTTCAGCAAAAGCGCTTTAAACGAAATATATTTTCTACAATGATTTTCTTTCAATGACGAATCGTTACGAACATGTTGTTTCATCAAATGAAGGCTTTATTTCCTTAGAAAAAATGACTTTGCTTTTTGCAGGTGCTTTCATAGCGGCGTAGCTCCTGGCGATTGCAATTTACTCCCTACTTTCATTCGTTCTAAGGTAAAACTACACATAAATCTTACCTGTGGTACCACTTGTGAAACAAATTGTGTAAACATCATCAGGTTTAGCAGGCTGAAATAAATCACCACAAAATCCCATTATTTTGAACAAATACATAATTTTTAAAACAAAGAAGAAAAAATTGCCCAGAAAAAGATAACATACAGACATTTTCCAAGGATTCCAGTGTCCCATTAACTAAAAATTAAGAAATGAACACAAATCATTAAGCATGACAAATTCTTGTACTTAATTTACCAAATCCAACAAAGAATTCTTACCATAACATCTTCAAATGACTTTACAGTTATTCCAAGTTTTTTAAAGTTTTCCCTCTCGTCCTTTGTCACATCACCAATTTTTATAATATGCTTGAGTTTAGGACATTGATGAGCTGACTCCAATAATATTGGCAGCTTGTTCTCATCACACACAACTAATGATAACTCAGCTGAATATAATTTGAAATCAAGTGTCATCAACAGATGTTTCTCAATCACCATAGTAACTCCAACATTCTAAGTAAACATACCATGGTTGATGATGTAGATACATGCTTCAAAACCTAAACTCTCATACAGTGGAACGGATACAAAGGAAAACATAACACAGGCTCTGTCCATTAACATCCACTAAAAATAAAATAAAACATTACAGATCAAAATATGGCCAATCTAAGTCAAAAATCATAATGTGTGAAACCTCCAATTTGTTCACAGCATAAATGCCAAATGTCATTTCAGTCGATGGTTTATAGCCAAGTTCCATTATCCCAGATCCTAGAGCAAGTGCTTTTTGATGCACCTAAAATTTGGTCAAACTATAACTCATAAGGACTTCAGGCACTATAGATATAGTTTGTAGTAAATATGAGAACTACCTGATTGTGTGTTAACCATGAATATTTCCCATTAACTATCGTACCAAGATATGGCTGGTCACCTGTAGAGTGCATTAATAAATGAATACTTCATCAAATAACTTACAAAAATAAATAAACACAAAAATTAATTAACCAGAAATTTGAGTTCCTCTCTCATATGCTTCATAAACAGTAGTAATTCCTTCATATGACACCACCAACTCTTCTGAAAACAGAGATCTTTTTGCACCAGGATATTCCAATTCAAATAAAGGAAATACATTTAACAATAAAATATTTATTACATTTGCTAATGGAAGGTATTGTACACTGCGTTGCTAGGGATGGGAAAGTGAAAATAGTTTTATCCCACATTCGCAATAAACACACGAGACAAGTCCCCCCGCTGAATTTCCCTGGATTCATTTATAATAGAATGTTAAATGGGGAGGGGGGGGGTGTATTCATTTGCTTCTGTTAAAAGGAAATGACATCACATATTGTATAACTCTCAACTAGATTATTAATCACGTGACCAATGTACTTATGAGTTTTTGTTTCGCCTTGTAAAAGAGCACATGTTATGTTAAAATATATTCTCAAGCATTATGGGTTAAGCCTGGGCCACACTATCGTCTATATTGACGAAAACGAAAACGAAACGAAAATTCCTGCACGAAATGCATGTCAGACACGACGAAAAATTACAAGCATGTTTGCAAAGCCAAAATTTTTTTTGGGCAATAAGCAAGCGGCGTTTTTGACGTATTAGAAAAAATGGCGATCTCTAAAAGAAAAATATTACTTCTTCTTAAGAAAAAGTTACTGCTTTTTCAAATACCAATAAAAGTGTCGCCACCATTTCCAATTCGGCTCGTCAGTGGCAGCAACACCACTAGCTCTTCTAAGATCGTACTGCCTTTTGTACTGCATGAATGAATCACGCAGATTAGACCACTTTTTCATGTTAGTGTCAACTGTAAAATGTTTAAAAAATAATGGAAATGCATCATTTGATACAAAATGTGTGTCGGCGGACTATCAATAATACTCACTATCCCATGCCAAGTCCGTAATTTTATTAAATTCATCTAAAGCATCTTGCCAGTGATTTCTTTTCTTGTTCCTCGAGTCCTTATAATCCTGGTGACTTTTATCATACAAAATTGGTTTTTCTCGCATCAGATTTATCAAAACCTCTTGCCACTCCGCCATGTTTGAGTACAAAGTCTGATATTACTAGACAATAGTATGCGTTTTCTTTGACGAAAAAGGTCAAAACTTCAACTCTTCTAATATGCAAGAAAACGAAATTTTCATGTTTGTAAATTGGTTTAAACCATTTACTTTATAACGAAATTTTCGTCGAGTTTTTGTTCAAAGTTTTCGTTGCGGCAGTTTTCGTTCTAATTTTCGTCGATATGGACGATAGTGTGGCCTAGGCTTAAATCTAACATGATGAATAATGATTAGCAAACCGCTCATTCGGAAAATAGAAACTTTGTACAATAGAAAGAGAACATTCTCCTTCGGTCAAACACGGATAGCGGGATAAGATCAAAATCTCGACAAAATATGTCTAGTCGAATATCTCATTGTAGTAATTGGGGATTCTGTGAAATATAAAGTTCAATAAAGGTACGTTACAAGTTAAGATATATTTTGATGAATTTCTTAAATTTCTAGTTTCTTTTGTCTCTCTTTAAAACCAATTAAAGAATATAATCACAGAACGGTTAATTGTCGTCTGTGATGTCCAAGTCGTAATATAAAATACAAATTCTCCTTGACTTATGTTCATCAAATACAATAAAGTTCTTTTTGTCTTTCAATGGTTGTAAATTGTGCTACATTCATGTTGTATTTCTACACTAAATTATTGATGTAATGTCTAAAGGCTAAAACACACTAGACAGTTCCTTCAGTCACGCGTCCAAAGCGAATTGATGCGCACGGGTCAGTTGCTTGAACGCCAGCAACACAAATGCAGTGACCATCGCGTCGTTTACCGTTGCGTTAATTTAACATGGCGAAGATTTCTGTTTGTTAGAGACATCACTTAAACTTTTTATTTTTGCCTTTATTATAGCTACTAGTAGATGAATATTTACTCAGTACAAACTACTATGTGGAGAAAAGAGAACAAGCCGGTTAAAACACGTAAATATGATCATAGCCCATTACGCGTGTATTGTGGACAATCTTATTCTGTGCATTTAGGTTGTGCATTAGGGTTCCAGTTTGTAGCTCCTATTGTCCTTATTTGATAAGTCATATAAAAACTGTAGGATTCCAGTGTGAATTTATTATATATTGCCTTCGTTTTCCAAGGTATAATCTATAAATTTCGTGTTATGCTTACAACAGGGAATATGATATGCATTTAGGAAGTAAAAATTTATCTATTGGCCAATCAGTGTAAAGCGACTAAAGCGACCAATGTCAAAAGTTCAACATGTTGAACTTTCAATGCGACTAGATGACGCGCTACGCTACTAACTTAGTAACCACGCAAAGCTGTAGTTTTAGACGCGCAACGAAAGCCATTGCCTTGTGTGTTTCAGCCTTAAGTCTATATTGTTAATGAAATGGCTTCCTTGAATATTCACAGGTAAGTTTAAACTTCACGACGGAGATGGTTATTTGTTATGGCATTTAAAGTTTATGGAGAAATAATCGTTAATGAAGATTGATGAAATGAAAAAATGTAAGTTGTCTTAATTTCAATTAATGCGTCGCAAATTTTTGAATTTCTCATAACTTATCGTTTTATCTAAGAGTGAATTAATAAAAATCAACTGTAATAACACATTTGCACCATCATTTGCTTATATAATATTATATTATGATGAACTTGGATCAAATTAAATGGTCTTGTCCAACAATACATTTCTGAGTTTTACCCTTTCTTAATATATCTCTGCATGAAGTACACACATACATTGTCCTTATCACGTGATAGCTAATATTCTTTTATAGTTAAGTGTCTGTCAATCATATGTATCACTATAGGGCAATTTATGTGCATGTATTCCAATTTTCCCTCAATAATTAATGATGATCGTTATAGGGCAACGTTGTTAAATGACGATGAAAAACGATGGTGTGTTTATGGAATCGTACTTAATCATGTTTTGATCCCAGCTGTTCGACCTTACCTGGAAAATAATATTTTAAATGAGTATGATGGACTAAAGCAATCTCATAAGATTGATGTTCAAACAGCTCACAACTTTCCTTCACCAAAATATTCCCCCCACGATCTACATTATAAAAATATCAACAATAATGAAACAAAGGATAAGAAGAAATTTAACTATGAAGTTAAGTCACATGTCGATTTTGGAAAACTTTTCCTTCTTAGTCACATGGCAAAGTTTAACAGTTACGACAGTTGTGACGCATCAGCAGTGCTTAATTTACTAGAAAGGATCCAAATTTTTTCCAACCTGGTCCAAAATGCGGCAAAAATCGTTAGAGAAAATAGAAATTCTTGGGGTCACTGCAATTTTAAAGAATGGAACGAAACAGATTTTCAAAAGAAAATCGACAATATGAAGAAACTTGTGAAAGAATTGTGTTTAGCAACTGAAGATGAAGTTTTGAATGTTATAAATCATTGGAAAGATCAAGGTATATTTTTCATTATTATATCATTGAGTGGGTTTTATTAACGTTTTGCAGAACGTATGTAACAAAAAATTAGTTATAACATCTTCATCTAAAACATCCCAGCAATACCGGTATATCGGTATATCGTATATTTAATATATTTTATCAACACCATTTTAATTACATTTTACAGCTTTGACATTGTGGACAAACGATCGTACTTTATGTGAAGAGTTAAAAGATCACATTAACAGACTTTTAAAAGAAGTTGAAGAAACGAAATTTGAAAACGAAGAGTACAAAAAGTTAGCGCAAGAGACGCTTGACAAATTTTCGAATTGCATTGAAGAAATGGATCAGTTGAAAAGACGTGTTGATAAAGTTGAAGACAAATTTGAGAAAGTTGAAGGCAAAGTTGAGAAAGTTGAAGACAAAGTTGAGAAAGTTGAAGACAAAGTTGAGAAAGTTGAAGACAAAGTTGAGAAAGTTGAAGACAAAGTTGAGAAAGTTGAAGACAAAGTTGAGAAAGTTGAAGACAAAGTTGAGAAAGTTGAAGACACAGTTGATCAACTTCATCAAAGCAAAATTAATGGTACAATATTAAAACTACTAAAGTTCAAGTGAAGATTTATAAATTAAACATCACAAAACACACTATTGAAGATTCTAAGCAAACTAAGCTATTGATGAAGTGTGAACGATTTGCAAAATGTTAACAATAAACCATTAGTGCTATATATAAAAATGCATTAAAGAATGAAGACGAGATGTCTTTCAAATAAAACTTACTTTAACATTGTATTTTCATAGATTTCGCCATTTGTGACAGCGATATCAATTTACACTACCGAAAATTCGATCAAAAAACAAGAAAATGGTTGATCAACGATTTCTCTACTTGGTTCGATGAACCTGGAGAATCAAGAGCTTTTGTATTTATGGGAGATGCTGGAGTTGGTAAAACAGTTATGTCAGCTGCTATCGCTCAACGCGCTAAGGATGATGGGAAGTTAGGAGCAGCATTCTTTTGTAGACATTATGATGGTACACGTCGTGATCCAAGATCTCTCCTGGCCAGTGTTGCTTATCAGTTAGGTAAACGTTTTCCTGATTATTTGAAATTATTGGGAGGGGTGTCTGGAATAAAAAAACAACGAAGCGATACAAAACTAGGCGTTCAAGAACTTTTTACTAAGTTTTTCGAAGAGCCATTAAGTAATTTTAAGACTTTTTCAAAAACTCTCATTGTGATCGATGCTTTAGATGAGGCAGATTATGATTCGAAAAATGAATTTCTTGATGTGGTAACTTTTCGTTTCCCCCAACTTCCACAATGGCTACTTTTCTTTATAACAACACGTCCAGTAGATTACACGCAATTTACTTTGAAAAATTACAATCCATGTGTAAAGATTTGTTCAGGAGATGCGAATAATGCTAAGGCTTATGAAAAACATGAACAAGATATTCAAACTTTTTTGGAAAATCAAGTCGACTTCACTGGTAAATCATTTTCTGCAAAAGAAATTACAAAAAAATGTAAAGGAATGTTTTTGTTTGCACATTATCTTGTCAAAACTCTCAAAGATTCATCTGAAACGGATCTTGAAAAATGCCCACAAGATATTGATGGTTACTTTCTTAATAATTTTAAACGTATTTATGAGAAAGTTGGAAAAGATTTCTATAAAAAATTGTTAGGTTGTGCAGTGGTTGCTCCTTCACCTCTTCCTAGTTCGTTTATTCCATTTCTTTTAAAGAAAGAAAATTTAAATCTTGACGAACAAGAAGTAATTGATGCTATTTCACTGTTTTTTTCTTGTGATGAAGAAAAATTCACGTTTCTTCACAATCTTATACCTGACTGGCTCACTGATAAAAAGCGCGCTTCGCGAAAGTTCGTAATAGATAAAACAGCAGCACAAATTTTCTTTAAGGAAATTGTCATCCAACTTTTGACATCATTCCTGGAGAATGGACTACCATTCAATGACTCAGATGAAAATTCCGTTGTCTGTTACATCCTTACAATTGAGTTTCGTTATCTATTTCATCTTTCAACTAAAAACTCTGAATTGTCGAGAATATTTTTTCAGTGTTTTACTAACTATCAATTTCTCAAACAACGAATAGAAAGCAGTACATCAGGTATTTCTTCCATTTTAAATGACATTCACTTTGCAATTGGAAACATTGAGTTAAAAGAAGATGAAAAACAAACTGTTAAGGAACTACAGTCTATTCTTCAAAATGACAGTTTTTATTTGGTAGATAACCCTGATCTTTTGGACTCCAGTCTTTCAAGGTTATCCTCGAAGGTCAGACAAGCATTTATATCAAAGCATTCAAACCAATGTAGATTGCCGAATATTATTTCAAATGACGACATTAATATTTTAAAATTAAGTGTGACGTCTATGCTTATTCAACAGACAGAACTTTGTTGGCAGGAGGAAAACGTTCTTTATCTGTTTGAAACATCTTTTTCAACAAAAATTTGGTCCCTTTCAGTTAAACGTGGACAAGATTCATTGCTTAGCATTCTCTCCTGACGACAAATGGATATTTTTTGGGACATTAAGATTCTGGTTTTCCGTAGAAGAGAGAATGACAGTTGAGAAAACTCAATTTCCACAAACTGATATATTTTATAACTGGGCTTCTTTTGTTGAACATGAACATGTAAATTACATAGCGGTAAGAGCGGAAAATGTGGAATGTCGACCTGATGATGAATGTATATTTTCAGTCACTCCTGAGAAATATCCCACTTCTTCCAAACACCAAATCTGGGATGTCAAAACAGGGGATCATGTGTTCAAGCTCATGTGTGAAAGCGATCTTAACAATCAATGGAAACTGAATTCTTTTTTCTACATATGGCATTTTTTCCCATATACTCTTTATAAAACGTTCCACCTTATATTGTCTCCAAAAGAATTTCTCGAAGATTACTTGGAAAATGATTTTGATGCATATGGAAAATCTAATGTAAAAATCTGCGACCAGAGGATTTACTTTCAGAAACATAGGCGCTTCGAGGGAAATATGGTTTGGCCATCTAATTTGAATCGTCGTTTTGGGCTTCTCAAAGATAGAGTATCGATTGTCAAGAAAGGCTCCGTTTTCATTCACAACATGCCAATATCTTTACATAATCTGATTTGGGGCGATGTAGTTTGTTTGTCTAGTGACAAAAATTGGTTGCTTCTTAAACATGAATGTGAATTTCATTTGTACAATTTTGATCATTCTCAAGATCATGACGAGGTTGACCTTGAGAACGATACTGCTGAGACTAGCTATGATTGCTTGAAGCTCCATGGTGTTATGGAAGGAAATTCAGATATATTTGGTTTTACGCATAATAACAACGCTATCATTTACAAAAATAGAAAAAATCTTTTCGCTTGGTCTTTGGATAGCAACGAGCATTTTGAAAGTGTTTCCACATTTTCCCCTTTGCTTTGTATGGACGAGAAAGTTGTATTTCGATCGAATGGCGAAGAAAAAATGATTTTTTTACGAGACTTTCCTGCAGATTTTTTAAACTCAAACTTTCATAAAGACAACGTAGCCTTTTCCAAGTTAGAGACATTTGATGCAAATAAATGCGCATTCTCTTATGATGGACTGTATTTTGTAAAATGTTCTGATTCTGAACTTAAAATTTTTTCCGCCGATTCCTCTTTCTCCACTTCTGAAATAGTTCATAAACTGAAGAATGGTGAATCAGATTTCCATTTTGTGTTGTTTTCTCCAGACTCGTCCTTGATTCTATTTTGCACCAATAACAAGAATTCTCGTCGTCAAACAATTTACGTCTGGTTTGTGAAAGACAAAGTTTTAAAGCTTTTCCTTCCTGAAAATTATTTGATAGAAGTAGACACTTGTTGTTCTTCGATGAATAACCGCATAATCATCTTGTGTAAAGGAACATCAATTTGGATATACGACTATGATAAAAATATAGCCAGTGAACCAACCACGCGTTCATTTCAATTAGGTAGTAAACAGGAGAAGTGTAGCCATTGTATTCTGTCGTCTGACGACAAAATGTTAGCTTGTTGTGTAGAAAATAGAATAATTTTTTATGAGTTGCTAAGTGCTCCTGAAAAAGCATCTCAAAAAGCCTCTCAATTTGAGCATTCATGCATGGTTAAATGTTGCTATTTTATGGGAAGAAACAAATATGTTTTGTTTCAAGATATTGCAGGTTCCATGTTCATGTTTGATCTGATTCAATGGAAACTTGTTACACACTTTAAAGCTGAAGCTTCAGTTAAAATTTTTAAACTTACTGATTACGAAATAACTTGTATTCAACCAAATGGTAAAATCAATTTTCTCGTTATTCGCGGTTTAAAGGATTGGTCAGGCAAGGATTACAATCTACCTTATAATTTGTATGTGAGCGACTTCGCACCTTTTACAAACAGTGATAATGACGATTATTGCATTGATAGTGAATTTTGGCTATCTGAAAGTAGTGAAAGTGATGATGACGATTATGGCAATTATAGTGAATCTTCGCAATCTGAAAGTAATGAAAGTGACGATAAAATGGTTTAACAATCTAGCTTGTAATTTATGTGTGTTGTTAATTTCACTAATAGTGATAATGAAGTCGACAGTATCACCGACAGTGTGAAATGTCAGCTGAAATTATTTTGAACGTCCAGGGCTGCATCGTTGAGATGTTACAAGAAATGAAAACTTTTGTCATAAAAACTCATTTCATTTATTTTTTATGTATAATGACTATAATCTACGCCTCCATCAAAGCATCGATTTTTTTCTAAACAAAATAGACAAGGAAAAATTTGCTAAACGAATTTTCATAATCGTATCTTTACCAACTTGATAAATGAGGGTTATTAAGAAAGCCAGCTTTTACCGGGGGTGGCACAGTCATACAAAAGAAATTAATATTTTGAGGTCAGAGGCAAATGTAGATAAATTATATCAACTTATTTGTTGACATACTCAAATTTCAAAACATACCTTCACATTTTTATGAACGTATATTTTGAAATTTAGATTTTTCTGCTGGTTTAAATCCGCAAATGTTTGCAGTATATTGAATTGTGAAAATATGCCTCCCTCCATACTCTACGCCTAAATCATCAACCTGAAACATGCAAAGTTGTTGATAACTTGATCATCTAAGGCCGGTTGCAGGAACCTTGGATAGCGTTATCCATTGAATAGCAAAAATTTTTAAACTTGTAGAAAAGATGTTTATATTTTTTTACGACAAAGAAATTCCGTAATCTTAAAAACAATGTTTTGTTTCAGTGATTGCTTATTAGGAATCTTAAAATTATTGCTTTTCAAAACGTTTCAAAAGAGTTAAAAAAATTGCTATCCAATGGACAACGCTATCCAGGCTTCGTGCAACCGGTCCCAGTTCCTAAGTTTCTTAAATTTTCTGCCTTTTTCAATAATTCTAAAAAACATTTGCTTAAGAACGTCATCTTAAATTCAAACTTTTTGGGAAGATAACACAACTGTGTTGTGTAATAGTTGAGAATTCTTGATCTTAGAGATTGGGGAAAGTTGATAATTTAGAGATAGAAATGTTTTATGTTGTGTAAACATGTAAATTTGTGGTTCTATTTCAGAAAAACATAATGAAAAAACTACCTTTTTTACACTTTTAACAATTTATAGCAATATTTAGAAAATCGTTTTGAGACAATTATTGATGTTATTGATGTTAATGAGTCATTTCGTTATGAGAACCCGTGGACATTAAGTGAAAAAAATAATCTTATTTAAATCAAATATCACCCACTACGACTTAACCCACCCGTCGTATTGAAAAAAGTCATCTTAACGACAATCTTCAACATCAAATTAAAGTAGTATAGTACATGGGGGTTCTAGATCACAAAAAGTTTACTTTTTGTTATCTATAACTCCCCATGTACTATACTACTTATAACCTTGGGTAAAAACTATCTTTATAACAGCTTAAAATAAGACCATGGTTAAAAGACGTCCCTCTGGCAAAAAGGTCATGTAAAAAAGCTGTGTAAAAAATTGTTTGTTTCAATATAGTAGTAAAAACTATCTTTATAACACCTTAAAATAAGACCATGGTTAAAAGACGTCCCTCTGGTAAAAAGGTCATGTAAAAAAGGATGTGTAAAAATAGTCATTGTTCCAAAGGGTAAAAATCTCGAGTTTACAATCTATCGTTTAAAAATATGAAATCTATATGTTTTTGAAATATATAGGTGCGTTTAAATTTTACAAACGGTCTTTACAAACAAATGTTAATAAGCATCGTTTCGGAGGCGCTCGGCAGCGGAAATTTTAGCGTAGCTAAAATTGAGCAGGGGATGGAGCGCCGAGAATTCTGAGTGACGGCGGGGAAAATTTTCACGAAGTGAAAATTCGGAACGACCCCGTAGATTCGATGAATATTCGAAGAATATTCGAGAATAACAGAGGCTTAAGAAATGCTCTTCAAAAAAACCGTCTTTAATAATCAAGTGTTATTAAAATATCAGTATCAGCGATAGCTGGTTTTTAGCAGCGCGCGTGTCTTAGTGCATGTTTTTAACAATGGTTGTTTAATGTAATAGCACATTTCATCAGCGCATGTATAATAATACAATGTTTTTTTAATTTGTCTATCAAGCGAGTGTCATATAATTTTTGTTAAAATTGTTTTTAATAATTGTTTCAGGATTTTGAATTCTTTTGTATATCGCTTTTGTATTAATTACTTATTACAAACAGTTATGTGATATGTAGTCAAACATGAGGAGCAGGTATGTATGATTTTACTCTAACAGAGGCCCACGCTACATGCTTACTACACATTATAACTGTATATTAAAATAAGTTTTAATTATCATTTAAATAATGACCATAAGCTCTAGTAGTTATACCATCATCTAATATATACCGTTTATCATCAAAACAGCTGAGTGATACTTTATTAATTTCATAACTACTAAGTTGATGGTTTACACTTCTAATAGTTTTCATTGTATGATGCATTTGTTTGTTTTCAAATAGTGTTTGTTTATAGTCTTCATGTTTTATTTTGTTTTTAATAATATTTTTCTTAATTCCTTTAGCTTTTTTATCTTCTTTATTATTGTCTTTAATATAACTATACATCTTACTTCTTAAACCAACAAATTCTTTAACTACTATTCCAGCAGCTTCATCTTTCATTTTACCAATAACTTTTTTATTAGTTTTATCATGATATTTATGGTATTCTGGGTAATCACTAGTATCAAATTTATCTTTATCAACCCAAAAATCTTTATAGACATCTTCAGTTTCGATTTCATATGTTAGACTATCTGTGTCTGTGAAAAGAAGTTTAGCTTTATCACCATATTTATTCTTGATATAATTGTAATGAAAATCGTACATTAATACTTTAGATAAATCTAAGATGCACATACCCACATATGCCGGCCTATTAAGGGTTAGTGTTTCTTTGATCTTATGTACAGCCACAAGGTTCTCATTGAAGATTTTACTACTTACATAAGTAGGTTTTGAAGCTAATTTTAATAATTTATCTTTATTAGTTACTAGTCTAACATCTACTCTTTTTCTTAAGTTTTCCATCGTCTTACCAAAAACACTGTTATTCATGAGTTTGAAGAAGTCTTTTTCAAAAGGATTTTTTGCATTAGTTCTTTTTTGAGTATTAAAGTCTATGTATTTTTTCAACCATGGAGATTGATTAAATTCAAGTACTCTATGTACTTTTTTTAACTTTAACCCAAGATCTAAATATAGTTGAAGATTTCTATAATGCAGTACATACTTGTATTTATTTTGTAATGTAGGTATTAATTTTGAAACTAAACCTGTTGATATATTATAATTAGAAGCAATTGTCTTACAATATTTTGACAGCATGTCACTAGTTACTTTAACTTTTTCTGGTGCTAGTGGATAATCATTATGTAAATCATGTAGTTCTTCAGAATATTCTAAATCAACTTCTAAAATTAAACCTTTTTTACTATCTTCTTGATATTTAGCAAGGTTTATGTTGTTAATCTGTTTCTCAGTTAACCATTTGAAATTACCAGTAGGTAGGTATTGTGACATAGCCCATCCATATAAATTGTTTGCGTCAAGATACATTATATATTTTGAGGGTTTATTCTTATCAAATGTTTTCATATATTTGTTATTTGCCTTACCATATCGATTAGAAATATAAGAAATACCTCCTTTCATACCCTTTTCAATGAATTGAAACATGTCAATATCAGTAATTAATTCTAATTTAATATCTGCCATTTTAAGCATAGCATCCCATGAAAGACCAGGACTAGTAAAATAATGACATGGGTCTAAGTTATAGTATTCTAAGCATGTTTTTCGAAAGTTTTCAAATACATCAGTTAATAACAAAACATCAGATTTCAGATACAAGTCGTGATACTCACCCATGTTTTTGAGATTGAATGTATTCCACACTTTTTTGTGCATGTTTATAAGAATCATCTGAGATATTCTCATCAGTAAGAATACTATAAAAGTCTTTTTTTGAAGGCAACCCCTCATCAAACTTTTCAAAGCTATCCATATAATCATATGGGTATATACCTTTTTTTTAGTCATTAAATTAAGTTTTTCATCTTTAAACTGATTAGAGGTGTATTTAAACGATTCTTTAGGTAGGTTACTAACAAGCTTTTCAAGACTAGAGCTCATAAATTGAAAACTATCAAGAAATGTTAAATGGTTACCTAACATGAAAACCATATATTTTTCCATATTATTTGGTATAGCATTTATATTCATCTGTGTTTCTTCACCTTTTTTGTTTTTGTATGTATGCCTAT